GGGGGGGGAGGGCGGCGGCGGCGGCAGTGTCTGCATTGTAATGAAGTGCCTTCTCTACAAGTCAAGGCCAAAGGAGTCACTTGAATTTTCTAATACAGCACTATGGTGGTTTTCTAATACAGCACTATGGTGGTTCAGAATTTGGGAAGCGAGACTGTTTCAGCATGCACCTTTCACAAATGCCAGGAATCACAATGATTAGCAACAATATTGCCAAAGCCATAAAACATACATCCAGTTGAAAATGAAGCCTGTGGCAAAAAGCCGCTTTATGTTCATAAAGGTTACAAAACAGTGATTTTCTAACTCCATCATGACTTCTGTATTATCGGTTGGCATTCTATTCTGAGAAATTTTTCCATTTCCCATGGGTGAGTTTTACCTTTATTTTTCAATATTTTCAAGATTTCATATGAGCATGTATAGCTTCTATAACAGGAGAAAATAAAGGGTCTAAGGAAAAAAATCATGTACAGAGTTAGATTTATTATTCCAAGTATGCTTCAGAGTGAGCTCCACATCCACCTGTATGCACTGGGTATCCCATAAATTCCACAGTAGACTGCGCAAGCATTCATCAGAAAACACTGTCTGCAAGTCTGTCTGAACCTCTGACAGTAATGGTGGAGGTTAGACTTGAGGACAAATGCAAGGCTAAGATTGGATTCTGTCCAGTGTTTATTATCTACAATGATATCACCTAAAGACGGACAGCACTGCTGGAGTAATAACATTTTGCTAAACTTTTCATACAGACCTGCAGGTCTTTTTGATCCTTCTTGCTTTCCAGGTTGGGAGTTCTTGTCACAAAGTCATTCAGCATGCTGTTGAGAGATAATCAGCTTCAGATCAAAAGTGCTGCAGAAATAAATACGTTCCAATAGAAAACAGTATGTGAATGTGAATGCAGTGACATAGTACCTGAGAAGCAGAAAATGCCCAGGTGGAGCTAGATTCAACTGGACAGATTCCTTCAATACTCCCAGCAACGAAGGAAAGTTCTCTTGCAAGGTTGGTATTGGTAGCCTATTTAAAGAAAAACAGGAAAAAATACCCAACCATGAACAAGTCAAGATACAACATTTATTTATAAGCATGCTTTAGATCCAGGTAGTTGGAAAGCAGAGGGCAAAACAGCATATCTGACCTGTTTTTATTATAATATACACTAGCTAAATTTTGGAATTCTGGCAAGCACTTACAGTTTAAGGCCTGAAATCCTGCTGCCAACAGAGGAGATGCTCCTGGTTTCCTCATGTATAAATAAAAGCCTTAAACTAGATGATCTACTTTGATTGCTTGGGCCTTTCTAGCTCTAATATTCTGCTTCCCGACATTGCTGGTAACACAGTATCATCTATTACAAGGTTGCAAAGCTTTAATTAAGGAGATTGGAAATCCCCATGAAATGGATCTTCCCCCTCAGCAGCTCTCAGGCCAAGCCTCTTGGGGAAGGAGAAGGATTCTGAGATTACTGCTACAAGGCGAGGCAGCACAGTATACTGAAGCCTAACTGCAATCAGAGGGTCCCGGGGCCAAGTCTTGGTCCTCCAGCTTACTACCTCCTATATAACCTTGACAGTTACTTATCTGCAAAAGGAGGATGACAGAAACTAACCTACAGTTGCTAGGAAAGTTCAGATATCACGTAGACTGCTGCAGTAAACATTCGCTAGTATCACAATACACATTAGCTGTCATAAGGAGAACTACAGTGATGCTGTGGGTGAACGGGTAATAACTTGTCTGAATTCAACCCTAGACCCAGGGACTCCTTGGATTATGACCCTCGATTTACCTTCCTTCAATTTCAGAATGTGGTGAGTAGGAATAACTATAGAATGTGGACTGTGTGAACCAAGGAGACCATACCTGGTTCTCAGAACTGTTTATTGTGAAACTCCTGATGGATCCGTAAGGATGTGGAGGCCTCCTTGAGAAGTGGTCTGTACCCCCTTCACCTTCATTTATTGCAACAGAGAAGGCCCTGCACAGGTGAGGGGTCTGGGAGCTGCGCCTGGGATGCTGGCATTACAAGATCTGAAAGAGGCCCAGTAAAGCTTCCTTTTCATTCATGCAGAAAATCCCAAGGAATCCCCTTCAATACCTCCTTTAGCTAAGACTGCTTAACACAGATATTAAGCTCAGTAAACCAAAGCAGAAACCACCCAGCATAAAACATGGGGGGAAACTGAGAACATCACCAAAAATCATCATTTCTCCTTTTTCTAAGACGTCTTTAACACTTTCCTGGGTGTGTGTGTGTTTTGGTATCAATTTAATGTAAATTTGAGTCTGTTAAAGTTTAACAGGCCTCACATAAAGATTTGCTGACATAAAGTGTTCAATATACACCACATGGATTTTAAAATGTCAGATTAGACTCAGGCAAACCCTAAGTGCTTGCCAGAATTCCAAAATTTAGCTAGCGTAAATTGTAATAAAAGAAGAAACAGGTTAGTCAGATATGCTGTTTTGCCCTCTGCTTTCCAACTGCCTGATCATCAGGGCATTCCCACGCCTCAGGAAGACACCTTTTAAGACATTTTCTGAACTAAGGCCACTCTCCCATAGTTAAGAATAAAAACCAGAGTTTTTCCTTACAGTCACTGCAATAGCATCTAAAATTCAGAAATGTTTTTGAAGGGACTGCATTACCTTTGGATAAAAGCATAGCAAAACTGCAACACAGGAATATCCACTAGGGGCAATTTCTGAAAATGAAAGCAAAACCAATTACTACAAATTGTTAGGAAATAAGGCTAAAAAAGAATTCAAATACAAAGCGAAATGTATCTATATCTTAATAAAGCAAAGTTTTCTAGCCAAAAAAATATTCTAGATGTAACAGCAGACATGATTGTATCCCTCAGGTATGACAAAAACAACTGTATCCCATGAAGTCCCAGATAATTTGTACTCCTCTTAGCACTTCTATAGTGATTTCCCATAATGTCTACCTACTTTGCATTACAGGCTGTCGACAAGTATTCAAGGAAAAGATGGCATATAACTAAACCTCTCCAAACAGAAAGTTAGGGGCAATGTTGACCCTAATGAATGCATGTGATTAGCTACAGAAAAAAGACATGAAAAAATTCTATTTCTTAGCTTAAAAGATTCCCATAAAACAGGGGCTGGCCCGTGGCTCACTTGGGAGAGTGTGGTGCTGACAACACCAAGCCAAGGGTTAAGATCCCCTTACTGGTCATCTTTAAAAAAAAAAAAAAAAAAAAAGATTCCCACAAACTGAGCCCAGACAACTTCCCTAAATCCCAAGTGGCTGTAACTACTTAGAAACTGGTTCCAAAACACACATTTTTCCCCCGCCTTGCTTAAGAAAAGCTACTTGTAGAAATTGTGTTAATTAACTAAACTAACCATAAAATATAATTTTGTTAGTTGAACTGCCAAAAACCACTTAGTCAGATAAAATCTAGTTCCTTTTTAGCCCAGGACAAGCCTGAAGTTGCAGATATTTGTAGAAATTCAAGTAATGTGAAGTAACAAAACCTAAAAATACCTGCTGTCTGTATGTAATAAAAGTTGGTGCAGAGGTGTCTTCAGGACTGCTCCTCTGTGCTTCACCAGCAACAAGGCCCGTGGCAGACATGGACCTTGATTGTGGCCTATAAGCAACTTTCAGTGCAAATGATTTCATCCACTCCACATTAAGAGATTTGAGCAAATGCTAGTATGGTTTGTAGCAGCACAAGGCCATGTCCCTATGATGAGGACCCCAGCCCCCTTACAGTGCCTGCCCAAGAAAGACCAAGGTTGCCAAAAGAATTTACTGTTTGTTTCTGCCAATGTCTGATGATAGGCCCCTGACCTCCCCTTCCTAGAGCATTTACTGAAAAAAAAAAAGCTGACAATTACAAATACTCCCTCTGAGATGTGTGTCTCCTACAACCTAGGAATGTGTTTCTCAAGGACCTGGGAACCATCCCTTTGAAGTAGAATCATCAAGAAAGATGTGGCCTCTGTCTCCCGGTCTCTGTGGGAGGGTAGGAGCCTAACTTTCATAAGCACAGTTAGCAAACACAGATGGCCTAATCACATGGACCGACAGACCTCCCTGCCTGCTTTTTTGTGATTTTTCACTTTCCTCAACGCCTTGAGCTGCTGCTCACTGCCCCTCCCTACTCCCTTACCCTCCCTCAGTCCTCTCTGCGCAAATCGCAAATCGGAACTGAGCTCAGCACTTTCCCCCACTGCAGCAGTTAGTTACTGAATCCTGGCTTTAACTAGATCCTGGCTTTTTCTTTGACACCTTTTAGGCTGCAAGTTCCTCGAGGCAGGTGCCATTTCCTCCTCTTATTCCATTTGGTGCACAGGTGTTAAGACCCATGTACCAGGCGTGTACACTGCAGCAGACACGAGGGTGAGAGACGATCTCTGATCTCAAACAGTTCCCACCTTCAAAAAGGAATGCTGAAGGGTCAGCCTGTGGCTCACTCAGGAGAATGTGGTGCTGATAACACCAAGGCCACGGGTTCGGATCCCATATAGGGATGGCT